ATGAAAGCCCTAACCCCCACACACCTCAGAATGTGAGTAGCTGGGGATAAAGTCTTTCAAGAAGTAACGAAGTTAGGGATGCCTGGGTGGTTCAGTGGTTGAGTGTCTGCCTTTGGCTCAGGTCATGATACCGGGGTCCTGGGATCGAGTCCCACATCAGACTCCCTGCAGGGAGCCTGCTTCTCTTTCTGCCTATGTCTCTGCCTCTCTCTGTATCTCTCATGAATAAATAAATAAAATCTTAAAAGAAAAGAAGAAGTAATGAAGTTAAAATGGGGTCATTAGGGTGGGTCCTGATTCAGCATGACTGGTGTCTTCTAAGAGGAGATTAGAACACAGACACACAGAGGACAAACCATGTGATGATACACAGAGACAATGGCTATCAACAAGCCCAGAAGACAGTCCCCAGAAGAAATAGATCATGCCAACTGACATCTTGTTCTCAGACCTCTGGCCTCCAGAACTATGAGAAAATGAACATCTGTCCTGGAAGCCACACACACAGTTTGTGGTACTTTGTGATGGCAGCCCTTGCAAAATCAGGATAAACTTAAATGAGTTTGAGAAATCCTAAAGCAAGTTGAAAAGAAAAAGACGGTGCTACAATGGCTCTCATAAAAAAGACAGATAGTAAGCACTGGCAAAGATGTAGGTATAAACTGAAACTCTCATACATTGCTGGTAGGAATGTAAAAGGATGCGGCCACCCTGGAAAAGTCAGGCCATTCCTCAAAAAACTAAACACAGGGTTACCACATGATTGGTCAATTCCACTTCTTATGTGCCAACCCAAGAAATGAAAACACGTGTTCATATACATGCTTGTGCACAAATGTCACAGCATCATTATTCATAACAGCCAAAAGGTAGGAACAGCCCAAATGTCCATCAGCTAGTGAATGGATAAATGAAGTATGGTATATACACACAGTAGAATATTATTTGGTCACAAAAAGGAATGAAGGGCAGCCCGGTGGCTCAGTGGTTTAGTGCCGCCTTCAGCTCAGGGCATGATCCTGGAGACCCGGGATCAAGTCCCACATCGGGCTCCCTGCATGGGGCCTGCTTCTCCTTCTGCCTGTGTCTCTGCCTCTTTCTCTCTGTGTCTCTCATGAATAAATAAATAAAATATTTTTTAAAAATTAAAATTAAAAAATTAAAAAAATAAAAATAAAAAGGAATGAAGTACTGACAGATGCTACAATGTGGATGAAGCTTAAAAATATTATACTAAGTGAAAGAAGCCAGGCACAAAAGGTCAGGTATTGGATAATTCCATTTATGTGAAATGTCCAGAACAGGCAAATCCATGGAGATAGAGAGATTAGTGGTTGCTGGGGACTGGCAGAAGGGGAAGATTTAGGGGTTGGGCGGGGGGGAACTGACACCTGATGGGATTTCTTTCAGAGGGTATGAAAATGTTCTAAAATTAGATTGTGGAATAGTTGCATAACTCTTTGAATATACTGAATATACTAAAAAGTGAGTTGTACACGTTAAGTGAGAGAACTTTATGGTAAGCAAATTATATTTGTTTTATTATAAGATGTCAAAAAAAAAACAAAACCCACACTAGTATCCCCAAAGTATTGTGACATAGTGAATGCTCTCCTTTCACCCTTCACCAGCCTAAGGCTCCAGTCTATCCCCTTCTCCAGATTTGATGATACCAGCCATACGACCTTGTGTACAGACCAGTGCTTGTACACCAATCCTCCAGGAAAATCTTAGATAAGGGTTACTCCCCCCAGGAGCCTGCTTCCAATTTCCAGCCCTTTGAAGGAAGGAGGCAGAGGCTTGATGATTTTTGGTTTGTTTTGTTTTTTAATGACTATAAGCCTCGGGGTACCTCAGTGGCTCAGTGGTTGAGGATCTGCCTTCAGCTCAGAGCATGATCCTAGGGCCCTGGGATCAAGTTCTACATCAAGCTCCCCGCAGGGAGCCTGCTTCTTTCGCTGCCTATGTCTCTGCCTCTCTCTCTGTGTCTCTCATGAATAGATAAATAAAATCTTAAAAAATAATAATAATGCCTATAGGCCTCTCCAGTATAAACTAGATGGTCTCAGGCACAGAGCACAGGACACATTGGTAGTAGATTTCCTCCAGAGAAGCACACTTGGACTCCTCCATGAATTCTGAGATTACAGTGGGTAGTGGCAAGTTTGTTTTTTAAAAGCCTGTGTTCTGCAAACCCTGATCTCTCCCCCGGATCATCTTCCCCTGAGAGGGAAGCAGGCAGTGAGGCAAAGCCACGGTTTCCTCTTCAGGTTCAGAGTAGTCATGGGGCCTGGCTGGGTTGCTGCAAGGTGCTATGTTTGCAAGTACAGTTTGTGGTCTCAGAAATGGCAGTTGTATTTATTGCCCATGTAGGGGAAAGCAAACATTAAAACCCCATATGCTCCTACAGATCGAGATACAAAAGGCAGGAGCTATGAAGGCAAATCCTTTTTTTGTTTCTATCATCACCTAAATTCCCACTAAGCTTCAAAGAGAATCAGAAGTAATAGGGATTCCTTCTCCCCAGCAATTCCACACTTAGGAATATATCCTGAGAAGATAATCAAACAAAGGTGGAAGGAATAACCCAGAACATCAATGTCCAACAGAAATATAAAGTGAGCCACACATGTACATTTACATTTTTTGTAGCCACATTTAAAAAGGCAAAAAGAAAAAGCTGAAATTAATATTCATAATCCATTTTGTCTAACCAATATATCCAAAATACTATCATTTCAACTAGAGTTGCCAGATGTAGCAAATAAAAATACAGTATACCAATGGAATATTACTCAGCCATTAGAAACGACAAATACCCACCATTTGCTTCAACGTGGATGGACCTGGAGGGTATTATGCTGAGTGAAGTAAGTCAATCGGAGAAGAACAAACAGTGTATGTTCTCATTCATTTGGGGAATATGAATAATAGTGAAAGGGAATATAAGGGAAGGGAGAGGAAATGTGTGGGAAATATCAGAAAGGGAGACAGAACATAAAGACTCCTAACTCTGGGAAATGAACTAGAGGTGGTGGAGGGGGAGGAGGGCGGGGGGTGGGGGTGAATGGGTGACGGGCACTGAGGGGGACACTTGGGATGAGCACTGGGTGTTATTCTGTATGTTGGTAAATTGAACACCAATAAAAATTAATTTATTTAAAAAAAATACAGTATACCCAGTTAAATTTCAGATGAACAATGAATAATCTTTTACAGTGTAAGTGTATCCCATGTGATATGTGGGCTGTACTTATACTTAAAAGTTTTACTTGTTTACCTGAAAATCAAATTTAAATAGGCATCCTTTTTAAAATCCGACAACCCTAATTTCAACTGCAATCAATACAAAAAATTAATTAATGAGCGGGATGCATGGGTGGCTCAGTGGTTGAGTGTCTGCCTTTGGCCCAGGGCGTGATCCTGGGGTCCTAGGATAGAGTCCTGCATCAGGCTCCCTGCATGGTGCCTCCTTCCTCCTTTGTCTGTGTCTCTGCCTCTTTCTTTGTGTCTCTCATGAATAAATAAACAAAATTTTTCAAAAAGAATAATTAACGGGCAGCCTGGGGGGCTCAGCGGTTTAGCACCGCCTTCAGTCCAGGGTGTGATCCTGAAGACCAGAGATCGAGTCCCACGTCAGGCTCCCCGCATGGAGCCTGCTTCTCCCTCTGCCTGTGTCTCTGCCTCTGTGTGTGTGTGTGTATCTCTCATGAGTAAATAAATAAAATCTTAAAAAAAAAAAAAAAGAATTAAGTAAAATTTTACAGTGTTCTTTGCAGTAAGGCTTTGAAACCTGCTGCGTATTTTATACTTCTGGCACATCTCAATTTGGGCTTGCCATATTTCAAGTACTCAAAAGCCATAGAGCTAGCAGCTACCATTTTGGACAGCACAGATTTAGAATGTTCCTCTAAATGTTTCCCATGACAGAAAAAAAAATCAGAAAAACATCCATCAGTGAAGAGGCTGCTTAGTTAAAACTAACATTTAAAGAGCACTCACTACTGGTCAGTCCTTGTCCTAAGAACTTTGCACGCATTGTTCTATTTTTTTCTTTTTATAGTTAACCAGAAACAAATTCAACAATGCTTTGTCTCATCTAGTGTCTCATCTAGTGTCTCATCCAGTCGCAACATTTGAAGTAGGTGCTACTATAACCCTATTTTACAGACAAGGAAAGTAAGGTTCAGGGAGTTTCTATAACTTGCCTAAGAAAGCGGTGAGGCTAAGTGTGGACAAATGGATTGATACATACATGTCCCACCCTAGCATAGACTGTGGAAGAAGACTGGTTTTCTCTGGATAGTGGACTCGAGATGGATACTGGTTAACAGTTTAGTCTCTGCTGTCACATAAACTAGTCATCTTGCCCTCGGCTCTACCAAGAGCCCTCACAATTGATTTGACCTTTGCCAGCCTCAGTTTCCTTATCTGTAAAATGAGAATCGCAAGTGTCTGCCTCACAGGGTTATTGGAGTCTAAGAAAGATGAGGGATGCAGACAACGAGGTAAAGCCACCTGCTCCTGGTAAGTCCTCAGTGATGTTATTATCATTCTCCCCAGGGTCTTTGTACTTTCCTACTTGATTAGACATCTTCATGGTGAGCATCAATCAGTTTTAAAAGAGAAAAAAAGTTAACTTTCAAAAGAAAGGGAACAGCCCTTGACGCACCTGGAGGAAAAAGAGAAGGAAAGAAGAAAAGAAAGGAGAGAGGGAAGAAGGGATAGAAGTCACCTAAGGATAGGGAAAAGGGAGGCATCACTTGCCCCACAGTTTTCTGAGTGACCACCAGAGGGCACTGCCTGCAGCTTCCACAGCTAGGGAAATCGATGCCTTTGAAAAAACAAAAACTTGGAATGGACAAATCACCAAAACCATTCATCTTAATTAGGGTGCCTTCTGCCAGGAGTCTTCACTGCAAAGCTGCCAACATTCATCTTACAGAAGATGTGAAAGGCAGTGGGATTGGTATCCCAGCTGCGGGCGATCTGTTTCTTACCTTTGGAGTCTTCTTTGGCCAAGTGACTACAGGGACCCCAGTGATGGCCAGACTGGGGTCGTCATCCGCGTGCTCCTTCAGGACATTCTGTGGCCAAACAAAGGAGCCATATTAGCCCACAGTAGAGGGGAGGTCCCTGAAGGAGGCTAAGACCAAACCTAACCCAATAAAAGACAGAGCCCTCTATAGAGTCAATCACCAAACACAGACTCAGTAGAAATCAAGTCACCGGGGTTCCTCAGAAGCCACAAGACATGCAATATCCTCCTTTCCAAAATTTTTTTAAAAAAGCATATCACACACCTCCTTATGACTACCATGAATATATTGCTCACTGATCATATTTATGATAACCAAACATTTGTCTAGAGCACCATGGACTCTCATGCATACAATCTCATTCAATCCTTACCAAGTACACTGGGAGTGCGCTGGGTGGTGCACTACAATGCCCTAAGGTACATAAACTCAACTATGTATGCAGAGAAACAAAAACCAAAACCAAACACAAGGTCTTGACACCTGTGAGATCGCTTTTCTTCCATCGGCCAGCAAGCCATGTTTCTTCTAATCTTGGCATGTAAAGACATGTCATTGTTTATTACAACATGGGCCATAAATACAAGTAGATCCTTCATCTGATTTAACCAAGGATGGAGTCATCTGACCAAATGCTGGCAGAAAAGTGGGCTGTGAGACATATTCCCAGATTGTGTGAGGGTCTTCCACATGGCACACTGTGTTCACATCTTTGTGGGTAGTTTGAAGACTTTTCAAGGGTAATTCTGACTCTACCAGATTTTGTCCTAATGTGGTGGCTCATTTTAGAACTTCATCCAGGTGTTGCTACTCCACTGAGTTATCCTTTAGAGGTGAGGCAATCAAGGCTCAGAAAGACTCAAAGGACTTGGATCCTGGCCCAGACCAGGAGGATAGAGCCCATGAACCCCACTCTCTGGCACCAGACTTCCCACCCCATGACCACTTCACACAGGGTTTTTTTTTTTTATTGCATCCACAGTGTGCCATGAAAAAGCATTAAGGGATAGACAGATCTGCCACTGGGCTATCCTGACTTTGACCATTAATTTTTGGATTGCACAAAAACATTCCTGCAGGACCATCTAAAAACAGAAAAAGTTGCACAGTAGAACTTAATAGGAAGAGCAGAAGAGTTCAAAAGAGAAATGTAGGTAAAGATTATTATTTTTTTTTTAAATTTTTTTATTTATTTATGATAGTCACACAGAGAGAGAGAGGCAGAGACACAGGCAGAGGGAGAAGCAGGCTCCATGCACCGGGAGCCCGATGTGGGACTCGATCCCGGGTCTCCAGGATCGCGCCCTGGGCCAAAGGCAGGCGCCAAACCGCTGCGCCACCCAGGGATCCCCGGTAAAGATTATTTTAACTTAAAAAAAGAGATTAGGGATCCCTGGGTGGCGCAGCGGTTTGGCGCCTGCCTTTGGCCCAGGGCGCGATCCTGGAGACCCGGGATCGAGTCCCACATCGGGCTCCCGGTGCATGGAGCCTGCTTCTCCCTCTGCCTGTGTCTCTGCCTCTCTCTCTCTCTCTCTGTGACTATCATAAATAAATAAAAATAAAAATTAAAAAAAAAAGATTATTTTAACTCACTTTCCCTAATCTATTCACCGGAAATGAATCCAACTTACTTCTTATTTATTCTATTGTCTTAGTTTTCTCATCATCCTGTGGTTGCCACATTTTTCAAAATGTGCCTACTACGCCAAATCCACCTGCAGAACTTTCCTCTGCCCATGGGAGGTAGCAAATACGACAGTGATCAAGAGTCAAACTCGGGGCTGTCTGGGTTCAATTCTCAGTCCATATAGCTCTCTTCAAGTCCAGTATCAATGTCACTGATTTATAAATGCTGTTTATAAACATCTCGGTTCACTGCTATATCCCTCATCTTGCACAATGACTAACCTACACTAAGCCTCAAGTAAATAACTTAAAAAAATAATAATAAAACCACAAATCCCCAAAGAGGGATTTTCTACAAAATCCTTAACCAGTATTCCTCAAATCTGTTAAAGTAAAAAAACAACAACCAAAAAAGGTCTGAGAAACCATCACAGCCAAGAGGAGCACTAAGGAGACATGACAAATACACAGAGCTATTGTGGGTGGGACCCTGAAATAGATATACAACACTTGGTAAAAACTCAGGAAATGTGAATAAACTCTAAACTTTAGTTAGTAGTAATAATGTATCAATGTTAGATTAATTGTAACCAATCTACTCCACTAATATACCATGTTAATCCTAGAGTAAACTGGGGCAGGGTGTGGGGTGGATAAGTGGAAACTCTCTGTAGTATCTGAATTTTCCTGTCCATCTAACACCATTCTGAAACGTAAAGTCCTATCATAAGAACCAATTTTTTTTTAAGTAGGCTCGAGCATGGAACCCAACGTGGGACTTGAACTCACGACCCCAAGATCAAGACCTGAGTGGAGATCAAGAGTCGGACATTCAACCGACTGAGCCACTCAGGTGCCCCCTAAAATGTCAGACAGTACTAACAGCTATCATAAAGGACAATGGGATTATTAGGCTGCCAATTTTTCTAACATGGATGTAGCGTATTTAACAAGAAATACAATATAAGGGAACCAAGAACATAAGCATGATTCAGCTCCAGTGTGGACCTCACATGGGGCATGAAAGATGCTATCGAATGTTTGGGGCAGTGGGAAGGATCCATGCCTGGGGGGAGGAGTGTTTCATCACTGACATTGTTTAGAATTGCTAATTCCCAATGAGGATAAAAAGCAGATGAATTTATCAGTTTTGGTTTTGAATTAAATAGACAGCATGCTCCATTAGTACATGCACCCAAGTGAGCCATTCCCACTTGGTCCACCACACAAGGTAGGTGGGACTGGCTAGGTGAGAAGTTAAATGGAACCATCAGGAGGCAGACACCACATATGTTGTCAAATGAATATATAAAAGTAGGATGTAGTGAGTGCTTGCTCTGTGCTGGGCACCATGATAGAAACGCCGTATCTACTATCTCATCCAACCCCCTTGACCACACTGTGAGATGGACCACCATCATTTCCAGATGAGAATACTGGGGCCTGGGGCGTGCGAGAACAGTCCAAGACCACTCAGCCGGTAGAGGGTGGAGACCCCGCCATTTCACAACCTGTGCTCTAACTATGGTGTTACTCAACCTTAACCTTCAAGAAGAGAGGGGGCCACGTTCCTAGCAACATGACTCACAACAGCCAAATGACACTTGAAAACAACCTAAGCGTCCATCAGTGTGGATGGATGGATAAATAATATGTGGTCTATCCACACAAGAGAATATTACTCTGCCCGAAAAAGGAAGGAAATCATGACACATACTGTAATGTGGACTGGAGGACATTCTGTTGAGTGAAATAAGCCAGACACAAAAGGCCAAATAGTGCATGACTCCACTTATATGAGGTGCCTAATGTAGTCAGAGTCATACAAGCATAAAACAGAGTAGTGGCTGCCAGTGGCTGAGGGAAGGAGAAGCAGGGAGTTGTTTAATGCATGGTGGTGATGGCTGCACAACAGGGTGAATATACTTAATGCCACTGAACTTGGGCAGCCCCGGTGGCTCAGCGGTTTAGCGCCGCCTTCAGTCCAGGGCCTGATCCTGGAGACCCGGGATCGAGTCCCACATCAGGCTCCCTGCATGGAGCCTGCTTCTCCCTCTGCCTGTGTCTCTGCCTCTCTCTCTCTCTCTCCTCTCTGTGTGTCTCTCATGAATAAATAAAATAAAATCTTTAAAAAAAAATGCCACTGAACTAGACACTTCAAAATGGTTAAAATAATAAATTATATGTTATGTATAATTGGCTACAATTTTTGAAAATTTTGTGTGTGTTTTATTTTTATTTAAGTAATCTCTACACCCAACATGGGACTATAACTCATGACCCTGAAATCAAGAGTCACAGGCTCTTCCAACTGAGCCAGCCAGGTGCCCTGCCCTTACCACAATTTTTTAAAAGGGAGGAGAGAATGGAGCAAAGCAGTCTCTTTCTAAGGAATGGACTCAGAAATTCTAAAAATTACCCACAGGAGACCTAACGTCTCACTAGTTAAGCCAGTACTGTTATGCCTTTGACAACACTGATTCTAGAGTCTGAAGACCTGGGCTCAGGTTTTACAACTTGCAGACTGTATGACCTTGAGGAAGCCACAGCTTAGAACAGTGATATCACTAACCTTGACTTTACTCCATGAAGTGAGATGTGATTTTACTACCATTCTTTGGAGCATTTACTGGGTGCTTGCTCTGAACTAATTCCCTCTGTGGGATAGAGCTGATTCTCTCCCTTTCACAAAAGCAGAAACTGAAGTGCAGAGGGGTTATTTGATTTGCCCAAGGTCACACAACTGGGTCTGAGAGGTGATAGATCCTGACACTGATCAGATTCATCTAACTATAAGCCCAGTTAGTAACACGGGGTGATAAAGCCTCAGTATACTATTCCAGCAACCTCTGGAGCTGATCTATACTCCATTATTAAAAAAATACAACACCTAGGAGACAATCTGGGCTCACATTCACCATCCAATTAACAAATACAGAAGTGAGTCATCCTCGCCTGTTCCTCACAAGACAGAGAACTAATTCAGCCACTAACTCTACAGAGTATTTTTCAAAGTTTGCCCCAATCACAAAAGGGAAGACCCACATGTGCCCAATGTGGGCTTGAATAAGCATAAAATTTTGTTGACATTTCATGGTTCTTAATAATCCACATGAATTTCACACCCTCTTCTACAATACATCAGGGTGTGGGTGTTGTTGTTGTTGTTGTTTTAAAGATTCTAGGGACGCCTGGGTGGCTCAGGGGTTGAGAGTCTGCCTTCAGTCCAGGGCATGATCCTGGAGACCTGGGATCGAGTCCCGCATGGGGCTCCCTGCATGGAGCCTGCTTCTCCCTCTGCCTGTGTCTCTGCCTCTCTCTCTGTGTGTCTCTCATGAATAAATAAATAAAATTAAAAAAGAAAAAGATTCTATTCATCTAATCACGAGAGACACACAGAGAGAGAGGCAGAGACACAGGCA